GCCCGCGTTTTCTGGCGGCGGCGGCGGCGGCACGCCGGGCCGGGCCGGGCCGGGCCGGGCCCAGCTTGGCCCCCTCAGCCCCTTCCAAAGCACGGCCAGTCCCGGCTGTTCTCAGGCGCGACGTCCTTGGGGCCCTCGCCTCCTTGCAGGGGCAGGCCCTGCAGTGCGGGCAGCGGGAGGGGTCCCTCCAAACAGTCCCCGCCTGGCAGACAGCATATGGGACAGTGCACAGGCAGCGACCAGGACAACGCCTGTCGGGTGCGGGGAGTGGGCAGCAGTCAAGGGAGACCCAGGAGGTGGTGAGCAGGGACAGGGCTTGAGGGAAGCCTAGGTGGGGGGTCAGAGAGCAGGGGGTGCAGGCCAGGATTATGGCTGCAGGTGCTGTCCAACAGAGGAGGGTGCTAGGAAGGCTCAGAACAAGGTGAGGAGTAGTAGGGTACAGGATGGGTCTCAGGCTGGGAGTGGGGATGGTGGGGAGGGCCCCCCAGACCAGACTGGGGCTCCAGCATTCATGGCTGCCCTCACCCTGCCCCACCCCCACCTTCCCGGGTTAGTTGCACCCCACTGCAGGAAGCCTTGCCCCTCACTGACCTTTGGGGACCCTAAGTTTTGGGGGGCCCTGGGATTCCCACTCATCCTCTTAACATGTCATCAGAGCCCCCTCCCCATACTAGCTCAGTTCTTTGGGACCCTAAGGGCAGCAGTGCCCACCCCCAGGAGGCCCTCACCCCACCCCCAAGACTCCCTACACCCCATGGGTCTGCCCCCCAAAAAACCTCCCTAGGCCCCACCCCAACCTTGAGGCCTTCTGCTGTCTCTGGGGGACCATGGTGTCCTTGACTACCTTTTTCCACAGTCTCAGTGCAAGAGCCATGCCATCCAGGGTCCCATCTGAGGTGGGGACCCACCTCTCAAGCCCTGCATACTGCCTCTACACCTTTGCTACCAGTCTTCCTCTCAAGCCCCACTTAACACTATTTACCCTCCTGTCCCTCCCCTCTCCCCAGCTATCTGGTCATGGGGGCATCAGGACACAAGGGGGAGCAAGAAGGCCCACCTCCATGAAAAGCCCCTGCCCCAAAGTTTGTTCTGTGCAACACCAGCCTTTTAAAGGCAAGTGCATCAACTTGGACCTTCCATTCCCTCTTAACAAGTAAGGTACTACCACCCAAGCCAGAAGGAGAAGCGAGAGACAGGTCTATAACTCAACCTTTTCATTGCACCTCAAAGCACAAGAATAAACACTTCTGTCTATGCCTGCCTAGTTACCTGCAACACCACAATACAGATTCTCACCTCTACCAGCTGGGGAGATGCAGGAGGGAGGAGGCTAACAGCAGGTTGTCTCTACTTTGCAAAAGTCTTTGTAAAGTTTCCCTGCATTTACACCTAAAATTTATATGTGGGTTTTTAAAATCAATATTCTGATAGCAATAGGTGTAATGCAAATGTGTTTCACTGAAACTTTGGGAATGTGAGTGAACGTGTTTTTCTGTGGGCTTGGGAGATGCCAATGTGCTGGGGCCTGTGTCCCTGGAGTCAGATACAACTCTGGATTAGAGAAGCACTGCTCATCTCTTTCTTTGTGTGCCTGGGAATGCTCTTTGCCCTGTTGTGTTTTACTCTGCTGTTCAGACCTAGTAATTTCCAGCAGGTTCACAAAACCAAACATCAGGTGCTGTTTTGAGCTGCTCTTTCCTACCTGTCCAGAAAGCAGTTACTGGTTTTCAGTCTCGTCTGTATTATTAAAGGCTGGAGAAACAGATTCTTATTGCACTTTCTCAGGCTCTTCTGTGTGATGTAAATGCAGCCCTGGCCCCTTCTGCACAGGGTCGCTCCTTGCTTTTGGGCCTGTAGGGCTCACCTGGGTCTCGGCCACAGCACCTGCCCCCTGTTTCACCCTGCCCATTTAATTTCACCCATAGATACTTTCAGTGCTCGGCCTCATCATCACTCTCCGTTCCCTGTGTGCATTTCGCGGCACAAATCCATGGTGCTGGCGTTCGGTTGCCGCAGCCTGCTGCCAATGCAGGTGCACCTGGAGGTGACAACTCGATAGTTTCGGCACTGGTCCTGTCATCACTACCTGTGTAACCATGGAAACTCATCCATGCCTCCTGCTTTGGCAGCGCTCCCGTATTCCAATGATGCACGCACCAATCCATAATCTCGGTGTTTGATGTATTTCGTTTGGGATCACTACGAATGTGGGTTTACTAGCAACATCACTCAATTCAGTGTTCCATTCACGCAACCTTGCACCGCGCATGCCCAACTGCTTTGCCCATAGATGGGCAAATGCAATATGCCACTTCTTCCTAAGTACGCATGCGTGTTCGTGGCCCCTCATCGATGTTTTCGTCGAGCTTCCGCGCTGGTCCTCTAATCAGCGCCTCTGTAACCATGGAAACAAAACCATGACTCGAAGACGAATGCGCAAATCCATAATATCGGCGTTCGGCGCACTTTGACTACGACCACTACGCATGCACTCGTTGCCGTGCGCATGCGTACTTGGTTTGCCCACTAATGGGCAAACGAGATAGCCCCCCTCTTCCTTAGGGCGTACGCGTGCTTATGGCTGCTCGTCGATGTTTTCCTCGCGCGACTGGCAGTTGGATCTGTACAGCGCATGTGCACTGGGTCCCACCCCCCCCCCAAGTGATGGCTTAATGCCACCTCACTTTCCCCAACGCTGGTGCCGCGGCCTCGGGTGGCTCCCGCTGTGGGCCCGGAGCCACCAGTATTGGCCGTAGCGCTCATTCCCGGTGCGCATGCGCTCTGAGACCCGCGCCTTGATAGTTTTGGCTCTCGTCTTGTCGTCATTCCTTCTGTAACCATGGAAATCCATTTCTGGTCCCTGGTCTTTTAGCGTCCGCGAATTCCCCGGACGCATGCGCCGCGATCGAGGTTTTGATCGCGCCCAGTACGCATGCGCAGGATCCAGAACCATCGATACATTCGGAGCCCAGCTGATCAACCCTTCAGCAGCCCTCGCGTGGCCAGTCGATTTGACCATTGATGGGCAAACGCGATGCATCGCCTCTTCCCGAGTGCGCATGTGTTTTCGTAGTCTGATACAGACACTTTCGGCACTTTACGGGGAGCCCACTCTGTACCATGCATGCGCAGTGGGTGCCCCGCACTGATAGCTTAACGTGGCGGCTGCTTTCCCACACGCCAGTTCCGTACTTGGCGTGGCTGAAGCTCCGGGTCGGGAGAAACGTTGCGGGGGGGGGTTCATCCCTGCCCCGAATATTGACTCCGGAGAAGACTAGCGGTCATTCCCAGTGCGCATGCGCATTGAGCCTCTTTAACCATGGAAACCCATCCATGGCTCCTGTTCTGCCAGTGTCTGGTATTTCCCAGGATGTACGCACAATCCATAATATCGGCGGTCGATGCGTTACGTCTGAGACTACTGCGCATGCGGACTCGTCAGTACCATCGATCTATTCAATATTGAACTGATCAGCGCCTCACGCATGCGTACTTGCTTTGCCCATTGATGGGCAAACGTGATGCACCGCCTCTTCCCAAGTACGCATGCGTGTTTATGGCCGTTATCGATAGTTCCGTCGCGTGACTGGGAGGCCCGCGCTCTAGAGCGCATGCGCAACACGTGTCCCTCCTGGAGTCCGTGTCTGGGCTGCGCTGGGGTAGTCGTCGCCCGCGCCGGGCTGCCCAGCTGGGCGGCGGGGCAGTGCCGAGGAGCCGTAGGGCGGTCTGGCCGTGGGCTGCAGGAAGAAGAGCCTGGCAGCGGAGAAGTCTGCGGGGCCGCTGTTCCTTTGTGCCGAGCAGCAGCTCCTGCT